GGTATGAGACCACAGATAACCTAAGGGTCAGCGGCTGATTGTGCGAGGTCATTTGAGTAGCGAGCGTGCAGTTGAAATGAAGGCTGAAAACACCATGGTCAAATATTACGATGTCAGTCTCAGGAATCGAGCCATCGGCATGATTCAAGCGGGAATGTCACAAAGTCTGGTCGCGAATAATGTCGGCGCCCCTCTCCGACCAGTGCCAAGGCGGTGGAAGCACTTAACACCCACCAAATCGCCAGAATGGCCGCATTTGTTTGGGCGCCCGACGCAGCCAGTGTGCCCACAGCTCCTGTCAAATTCCCAGCGAAGTTGATGGTGTGGGGGATGGTGTCACATTAAGTGCTCAGTGAGCTGCTCCATGTCATCCCGCCCAAGACGAAGGTGGACACCAAGTATTATGTGGAGACCATCTCGGAGGAACTCCCAGAAATGGCTCTGTTCTGAAGCGACGGATGGTGGCTGAGAGGTCGAAAGCCATCTTCATGCAGGAAGGGGCTCCAGCGCATCGCTCTGCCACGGCCCAGCAGTGGTGCTGAGACAACCTGCCGCACTTCTGGGTGAAGGAAAAGGGGCCGGGGAACAGTTCCGACCTAAATCCCATTGAAGAGCTGTGGGCGATCGTCCAGAAAGACCTCGACAAACAGACGCCAGCAACTAACCTCGCGCAGCTGGAGACGCAGCTCAAGTCTGCGTGGTCACGAATCCAGCCGTCTGTGCTCCCCACTCTCGTGGCCAGTATGCCGAACCGTGTTCGCAAGTGTTTGCTTGTCCGTGGACAATACATTGAGCGCTGAACAACTTTTTTATTTACAATGGCTTGAAGTGTGGAACGATTTTAAAACTACGTCAAGACTTTTGCCGGACCCTGTAGTTCATGGGCTATCACCCTCTCAATCAGCATGCAACCCTACCGCCAAGATGTCCGAGAGATCAATGATGCTACCGACCAACTCTTCCGCACCGCAAGAACGCTGATTACAAATCACCCGCCGCCTGCCAATGCCACCGCTGCTGACCCAGCTCATGCTTCTCTAACTGTATCGCTCAAACATCTGTCCCACTCCATTGGTCAGCTGCAAACAGAGGAGAACCATCTCGTCGACACATTTCGTGACCTGCTGTCCATCCCTGAGGCACGGAGCTCTGCACGTTCGGCTAACTCTGTTCGTCGAACTGGTCGCTCCAAGCGCGTTAAGCGAGGACTCATAGATGGCATTGGAAGCGTAATGTCGTCTCTGTTTGGAACGGCCACTGAAAGTGAGATCAAGCATTTGAATAATAACGTCGAGCTCATCAACGCTAAAGAGGTTGCTATGGCCCACGCATTTAACGGTACGCTTAACGTCATCAACTCTACTAGAGTAGCTACTACACAAAACCGCAAAGCCCTTCGTACTCTTCAGTCAGCGATGCGCTCGATGAGCGCATCGCACTCGCAATTAATCAGGGCCGCCGACAATGCAGATGAACTTATCACGGTATCGCTTCGAGTAGCCGACCTTGCTGAGAACGTAAGACAAGTTACTAGAAGTCTCAACCATCTGTATACTTCGTTGGTGTCTCTCTCTGGCAAACTCGCTCTAGCCCAGGTAGGGATCCTCCACGCTGACCTTATTCATTCCCGTGACCTCAACCGTGTCCTTCGCAAGGTGAGCAAAAGCCTTCCGGCACATTTTGCACTACCCTTTCCGCCTTCAGCTACCCGCGACTACATTCGCATTGTTAACCCGCGCCGTGCTGGTGGCCTGAACTTTCCGCCGAGTGCTGGGGGGGGCGTTTTCACGCCCCCCCGTCTAACTCGGCTCCTGGGCCACGTAGCGACACGCGGTAAGCGGCAATCGAAAGAGCGTCAAAAATAAGGACGAAAACACTTCGGTCATTTTTTGGGTCAGGTCAAAGGTCAGGTCACCAGAGGTCACCAAAGGTAAAATGTTGACTATTTCAACATTTTGGAAACTGCCAACGGCTATCTCGGGAACCGATAGAGCTACAGCGCCGCGGAAAAGCGCATTCGATAGCCCTTTTACAGACCTTTCTGAGTAATGTTCTCAGATTTGACCTCAGGTCAACGGTTTAGCCTCCAGAGGGCAAAAACTCCAAAAATAGCCGTTTTTACGAAAAACGTTTTTTCGTCAATAACTTTTGACTCATAAGCGCCATGACATTACTTTTGCCAGCATCGTGTTCCTCTCGTCGAGACGCGTCGAATGAACTATTCGTTGACCTTGAAAGGTCATTTTGAAAATTTGACCTCAGGTCAAGGTCATGACCTGACCGAAAAGGGTCATGTTGCATATCAGTCGATCCGTATCGTCGAGCTGAACACATCTGACGTGTTTTCACCGCTCTAGCACGTCTCTATCAAAAGTTATAGCCAAAAAACTGCTGGCGACCGTTCATGACCTGAGATGACCTCAGGGGCACACAGAGGGGTCACAGGTGCATTTTTCCTATTCAGTGTGTCATGTTTACCTATGAACCGATGTTTGAGAGCGTTTTGAACGATATTCGTCCAAAAGAGGCGCATTTCAATTTTCTCCCATTGACTTATAATGGAGAGGTCGCAAAATTGACCTGACCTTAGGTCACAGATATCAAAAATCCGAGATATACATTTTATACATACTGTTACTCATATCAATCGCTGAAAGTTTCAAAGTGATCGTTCAGTCGGTGTAGCTATAGCGAGCCTTTGAACTTTTTCTGAGGTAAGGTCACTTGACGTGACCTGGTGACCTGACCTTGAACGGCCTAGGTCTGAAATTTTCACAACATGTGCGGAAATGATGTAGGAACACGTGTACCAAAAACGGCGGCGCTGCGCGCCGCCGTTTTTGAGATATTCGCGAAAAACCTGAGGGGGGGGCGTAAAAACGCCCCCCCCCAGCACGGCGCGGGTTAAAACCAAGCTCATCCCCGTCGATGATGCCTTCCATGTCCTCTTTTACATCCCACTCCTTCACACGCTTCATGCGTTCGATGTTTATCGTTTCTTCCCTTATCAGGTCCCGTTCCACAACCACAACATTTCTCTCCTCTATGTCCCGAACGAACCACGCTACCTGGTTGTATCAGAGAACAGACAACAATACATTCAACCGGTCGACTCTGAAATGGAAGCTTGCCTTCTGATCAGGGCAACTGCACGAGTGGAACCTGGCCGTGGAGATCGTACAGAGGTCACTGCCGCAGCGGTGACAGAATCCGCACTCCTGGCAGAAGTTGCGTTGGCTGTTGTGCTGACAGTCACACGGGTCCTTGGAGACAGGCGCGGCGACTCTGGCCTGAATAAAAGTTTTGTGATATCCACAGAGGCGTGGCAGCACGTCGGGAAGGCTGGCTCTGAATGTAGAGACCGGTTCCAGTAGGCGCCAGCAGATGCAGTCTATCGAATATAGTTTTGGGTCGATAGGCACGTCTAGGAGAATTCGGAAGCCGGCCAGTGATTCGTGGAATGGCATACCACTGGCTGATCGCAGTATCGGCGGCAGAGACGAAGAAGCAGATGGAGGAGAAGACGGCTTCTTCGGCGGTTGGTTCGATCCGGGTCACGGCACCAATGTAACACGTGTGTGTTCTCGTGCCCAGAGCGGGGCACTTCGTGTTGTTGGCGGCCCTCGTCAGAGACGACGGTCTTCCGGTCGAGTTGTATTTGAGCAGCACAACACAGAGCAGGATGATCGGCTACGGTGTCGGCACACGGAGCAGATGGTACACGTCCGATGGCTCTGGGACTCGGGGGTCTTCTGAATTTCCCTTTGCCGGGGTGCTCTCAGCTCGGCTCACCCGACCTAGTTCCTACTACATACTAGAACGTAAAACTATCCTGCATGACGGCCCGCTATTGGATTAAAACATTTTCGCTTTGAGACTCGTCTCGTGATTGGCTATTACTAGGTCACCGCCCCTCGGCTCTCTGGTAGCTCCCAGGAGACACGTGTCAAGTGAGTTGCCAATCGTCACACGCTGGCACCGTGGTTGAGGGGGGCGTAGCATGATATCGTTCTAAGAAACGCGTCGGAAGCATTGTCGGACATTAACCAGGTCACTATTCTGCGCGGGCCGGCATGAATGACGGATGGCGCGCGACAGGCTGGCGCGACTCAGCGGCACCGTCGTGGCGGGCTGGGCGCGCGGCCGAGTTACATTAAATATACAGATCATAGAACTGGAGCTACGTAAAATATACCGAATATAAAAGTGAAGTTAACCTGACTGCAACGTTGGTGTGGTGTCGATTATGCAAATAATTGTAAAGTTATGATATGGCCGTCACGCAGGTAACGCTACAGGTAATTAGTATAGAACTACGCTAGATTGCACCGTAAACATAAATCGGAGAGAGTACATCATCTCATCTTACAGACCCTGAGCCGTTTTCTGGGTCCTGCAGGTAACATGGCGCAGGTCACGTGTTTGGATTCACGTGTCTGCCTGTGAGAACTGTTGGCCCTGTGAATCGTGCGATGCGCCAACGCTGCCGCGAAAACGTTGAAAGGCCACCTCACGCAATTAACTAGTCGTACATGCGACGATGTTTTATGAGATAGTGTCGAGACGAGACAGGTGGCACAAAGGCACGGACCTCGGGTGTTTGGCCTAATGGTACCGGTCGTAATGGGTGGGAAATACATGCTGCTGGTGGGCGTGGGACGTATGCTAGTGCCATGAGACGTTGACCAATGGGCAGCACAACAGCTCAAAGGTCATGTTGTCACCACTGCTCATTTCAATGGCGCATCAAAACACCGGCAAACCCTTCGTTATTTTGACACACTGGCAACATACGTTGCCTCAGTGGAAGTGAGCAATATCATGAATATCCTTGAAACAACAACAAACACAGTTATTGTGCGCTGAGCGCAAATCATATTACCTGATACAGATTGTGTAAGAATAAAGGTGGCACGAATAACTTCCCACCTAACCTACTCTCATTCTGCGACAGTTGGTGGAGGCCTGAGCCGCTGTCGCACAGGGGAGGCGACACATCTGAAGGAGCTGTCAGAGGAGGGCGCTCTCGCAGGAGCTGCTTCACAAGAGGTCCAACATGGAGCGGCTCGGGCCTTGGCCCAACACCACCGCGGACGCCGAAACACTTGTCGTCGCCACCTTCGATGTAAGTCACGTCTTTTAGTTACCAAAAATATATACTCGTATATGAAAGACGAGAAATATTTCGGAAAAGTTGTACCGTCAGTTTCAAGAGCATATGATTTGAAAGGATGTTGATAAAATGTTTTCAACATAATAAGAAGGGCACTCACATGTGTGAAAAGACAATGCAGGGACAACTCATCAATAAAAGATGGTACAAAAATGCATTCTAACCATTGTAAAGCTTTCTTATTATAAAGGTTAACGTAATCAACTGAGTTGAAAAATAAGGAAAACATGCTCGCTAGGAGACACAACCGATACTCGAAGGAAACACCACTTGAAGATAATATCATTTTCGAACCTCCTCGACCTCCTCGTGTGTGGACTGGAGGTTCTGGAGGTAAATGTTTGGATATTTTGCACACGCCGATCGTTCTCCCGTTTGTCCGTACAGTACCCTCCGTTCACCTTCGTGAGTCCAGACCAGCCGGGCGTGGTCACCGGCTACCTCAAGGAGCTGCTGGAGATCCTGGCAGAGGAGGTGGGCGTCTCGCTGGTGTACGACACAAACAACACGGTGGGCGACTTTGGCGTGCAGCGACCCGACGGCACGTACAGCGGACTGGTCGGCAGGCTGGTCAACAAGGTGAGGAGCTGGCCCAGACAGCCACACCACTGGTGGTCGCAGGAGGTGGACAAACTTGAGTCAATGTCCGACAAACGTCTCCCACTTTGTGTTGCCAAGTGGCGAAGGGTCTATCATTGGGCGCTAACGCTAAGAGCGAGGCGGATGAAGTGATTGAAGTAACTACAGGCGGATTAAGCTGAAAAGTTTTACAGAATACACGTTTCTCTTCTCTCTCGTCGTTCTCAGACGGCGCACATCGCCCTGGCGCCGCTGACCTACCGGAGGACGCGCCGCGATGTGATCGACTACATCGGCCACGTGCCGGTGGCTACCCAGCGGTTCGACTTCCTCGTGCCCGGACAGAAGCGCGCCTCGCTGACCAACGTCCACTCGCTGCTGAAGCCGTTCGACATCGGCGTCTGGATCTGCCTCGGTACGTCAGCGACGAGACTGTTGGCTGCTGATTCACTTTGCCGCTATTCTTACTGGATACGGTCGCTGTAGTAGGTAACCTGGTAGCCATTACAATATTCAACGAATATCATAGTCGTTAAAATTGCTCGTCGACTATTTGTTTAAATAAGCCACAGCAGGTCGATGACATAACCAAATCATTTTGGTCTTCTACATGGCTGCGAACCGACGCTTTGGTCACACATTTACACCGCACCAGCACCGCCATTCAAGCACACTAGCTCTCTCTCTCTCTCTCTCTCTCTCTCTCTCTCTCTCTCTCTCTCTCTCTCTCTCTCTCTCTCTCTCTCTCTCTCTCTCTCTCTCTCTCTCTCTCTCTCTCTCTCTCTCTCTCTCTCTCTCTCTCTCTCTCTCTCTCTCTCTCTCTCTCTCTCTCTCTCAAACCTCACCCCTCTCACCACCCCGCAGTGGTGGGTATGCTGCTGGCGGCCGTGCTGCTCCGGCTGACCGTGTCCCTGGCCCGGCCCCGACACCCGGAGGAGGCCGGCACGTTCGGCGTCATCTCCAGCTTCCTGCACGTCTACGCCTGCGTGGTGCAGCAGGTGGGCGACCTCAGAGCGGCCTCAGAGCCTGCAGGAAGGTGACCTCAGAGCGGCCTCAGAGCCTGCAGGTGGGGACGATAGCAGCCTCAGAGCGGCCCGGTCGGTCTCAGCGCGCCGGCTTGACACGAAGGCAGATACCGGAGGAGTCTTGGAAAGAAACATCAAATGCATGCGAGATATGATTCTTGTTTTCGCTGATTGTATGTCAGCAGTAACAACAAACCCCAATCATTAACACTTCCATCACAGAGAGGTGGGAGGACCACAGGTCCACACACCCCGGCTACCACAGGTGCTTGAGGAGTCCCCTCCCCCCTCCCCCGTCCGTCCATCAGGGCTGGTCGAGCACGCCGACACGCTGGTCTCCGTGGCTGGTGATGATGGCTGCCCGCCTGATGAGCTACATCGTTTACGTCGAGTACACGGCCACCCTGGTAGCCGTGATGACTGTACTGCAGACCAGGACGGAGGTCGGATCCGTGCAGGAGTTCGTCGAGCGCAGCGACTGGTCGCTGCTCATGCAGAGGGGCGTGGCCTACAGCTCCGACTGGAAGGTGGGGGGGGGCGTGGCCTACAGCTCCGACTGGAAGATGGGGGGGGGGGCTAAAGCTCCGACTGGAAGGTGGGGGAGGGGGCGTGGCCTAAAGCTCCGACTGGAAGGTGGGGGGGGGGGGCGTGGCCTATAGCTCCGACTGGAAGGTAGGGGGGTGGCCTACAGCTCCGAATGTAAGGTGGGGGAGGGGGGGGGTCCACCAGCTCCGACTAGAAGGTCTGTGTTGGTGGGGAGGGGGGTCTACCAGCTCTGACTGGATGGTCTGTGTGGATGGGGGGGGGGGTTGGGAGAGAGGGAGAGCGGGATGATTTGATTTGGATGGATAGCAAGGGAAGGAGGGAGGAATGTGGTAAAGAGGGAAGGAACGAAATAAAAATCAGGAGGAAGGAAGGAAGGAAAGAAAGAAATATCGCATTATATAGAAAGCTCATACTTACAATAAGGCAGGTAAACAAATTATAACGCTTAGGAATGAAAATAATCAATAATGAAGTATGTAGACAAGCACAATGTAGTTATTGCTACCTTGAACTGTAGGACAGGCCTTCGAACACGGACAGACAGAAAGGCAAACATAAATGCGCGTTTGCGTGTCAGAAGTGATGCAAGACACGTTACATTAGAAGTTGAACGATAGGCAATCGTGGAGCGATCACTCAAGCGTACTGAGAGGGTTCGTTGTAACATGGATGGGCACGGGGTTTCCACCGCCGATTATAGTGGAGTGTGTGTGCTTAGATAGTCCTTCAAGCTATAAGCGGCGACTATTGATTTGTCAATAACCCAAGGATGGATAGGCAAGACCGTTCAATGCGGACGCCGGGCACACTAATGCCTTGATAATCACGAGGCATGTTGCTAGCATATGGGTACTTTCAGAAAATTCCCTTTGCTTAGATTGATGAATTCGACACGCAGTAATCGCGGAAAAACTAACGCACAGGGGAATATAAGGCATGGTCCCTTATAGATCTTCGTATTGGTGAAAATTCAGTTAGAGCATTCACTGTGTTTGCATACCTACAATATAATCAAACTACTATGGACGTCAAACCCCTTGAGACCCCACTTTTTTGCGATAATTTTTAAATGCGTCAACTCCCGTTGACAATATTCTGGCAATGTGTGTTTCAGAACCTGCCGAAACTTTTATTACTAAGGTATTTTGACGCCAAACGATTATGAAAGGTACTTCTCATTCACTCGTAATGTTAAATTTTACGGAACGTATCTGCTGTTTGGGTAGAGGCTACGCGCTCATGGGGCGGAGCCACGTAATGACGTCAGCGCTAAGCTCCACCCTACCCCTCCGGCGCTCCTTTCCCGGCGACCGGTCACTCGCGACTCTCGCTCCGTTCAGAGGGGTGTTCACGGGCACCGCACACTGCTGCGTGCGCTGTGTGCGGTGCGTCCAGCAGGCGTGGGGGTAGGGGATGGGTAGGCGGTTCTGACGTCACGGCTGCGTGCGGTGGACGGTCCGCTGTGGCCAGTCCCGACCGGCCACAGCGATCGCTGTGTGCGGTGACGGAAGGCTGACGTAGGGACGCAGTGGGCGGAGCTTGGAGGCTGTGTGCGGTCCGACCGCACACAGGGCCCGTGAACAGCCCTCAGGCTTGATGGTGGGCGGTAGCTGGTAGCGGTAGCGGGCGCTGGTAGATGACATTAAGAGCAGATGGCGCTGGTGGCGGGGCTCGAGTGTGGTCGAGCGCAAGCCTCTGCCCGGGCCTGAATTGACCTTAGCATTACGAGTGAATGAGAAGTACCTTTCATAATCGTTTGGCGTCAAAATACCTTAGTAATAAAAGTTTCGGCAGGTTCTGAAACACACATTGCCAGAATATTGTCAACGAGAGTTGATGCATTTAAAAATTATCGCAAAAAAGTGGGGTCTCAAGGGGTTTGACGTCCATAGTAGCATAGCATTACTAGTGACTACCAGTAACTAGCAAAGTACGTTTTCAATAGAAAGTGTCAATAAGAATGGTCATAGCAATAGCCAAAATTTATTAAATTGCACCTTAAATATCATGCTAAGGGTCATTTCTACATCTTTGTTCACGACCACTCAGCGGCACTTCAACTCGTGTCAGCGAATTAAAGGCCGCCCCATGCACTGGACCTCGCATGCGGGTTGCGAGTCTGCGGGTTTTGGATTCGCGGGTAGGTATAATACTCATTTATGAAGTGACTAAACCATTCTTTTATGGTCACTACATGAATGCAGTGAAGCTAGCACAACCTCAAAAATTTGCATATTATCGCAATAACAGCACAACGAACCAAAATTCGACTTAAACAAAACACAACAAAACTCGCAGCCCTCGCAGCGAGGAAAATCGAAAGTTGACTCAAAATCAACTTTTGGAATGTGATGCAAGGTGGCTCGCATGCTAAAAACATGCAGACTCGCTTGTTAGATGGTAGCGTGGGTCACTCAGCTTAGATTGCATTATTTGATTTTGAAGAAACCCGAAAACCCAAAAACCCGCAACCCGCGTGCGAGGTCCAATGTGGGGCGGCATTTAAGCGTCAGTTCTAACAGACCTTTGACTTTCAGACGGATCCTGACCCTTCCCTGAGGAAGATCGCTCAGCGAATAAAGGCCAACGAGGGCATGAAGTTACTAACAGCCAACACGTCGTATCAAATGCTGGACGCTAAAACAGTCACATCGTTTGACCTAAAACAGGTGAGAACTCGTAACAGCTCGGCCAGGCTAACTCACGAATTTGTTGACGAATTGTTTAAAGAAGTAAGTTATTTAACATGCTTTCCTGACAAGTCTTAGAATGGAAGGACGTGTTACCACTGATGTCTGTAAGCCTTTTTTAGCTCAGTAGGGCTCAAATCTCAATGACTTTAACTGACAGATGCTGATCGTTTCGTTTCTACAGGCATTTTTCCTGCTGGGTTCCAAGGCGTGTGATCTGGTCACGCTGCCGATGCGACCTGTGACATCCAACGCCGAAATGATCCAGGCAGGGCACGGCCGATACACGCCCGTCTTTCTCACCATGCAGAAAGGACTGAAAATCCGCCCAAAAATGGATAGGGTGTGAGTATACCGAAGATTCTTACGCGTGCCAAGTGAAAGAAAACAATATGTTTTGCTGTACAATGAGACAATTAAATTGAAGAGGAAAGTCGGGTTAAGCCTGAAACAGACTTTTCGCAGTCAGGAAATCGCATGCAAGAGCCTATCCAAATACCTACATGGAAGCACGCTCGCATCAATCGCACGCACCTCCCGCATGCGATTGATACGGGCGGAATAATAATGCATTTGAATAGGATCTCGCATGCGATTTCTTGAATGCGAAAAGAGAAAGCCTTTAAAGGTAGTGTGCCAGCTTTCTTGGACCGTATGGAGTTAATGGCCCAGATAAGGAGAACCGGATTTTTAGAACTTATCCATACCTTCAAAACTCATGGAAACGTCTTAAATTCTTCAAATTTTGAGTACCCCAGTGCGAAATTCGCCCCGACGGGTTGTCGGTCGTACCCCAACCACATTTCACACCACTATGAACAATAAATGCACACACTGAAATCGCTATTACCGATATGCTCATCCAATCAAGTTTCGATAAACCCGTTCATCATCAGCCCCTGCGGTTTCGAACACGCCTGTTAGGTGGTGCGGTAGACCACGCCCAAAGCCAGGGCCCCGGTAACGTGAGGTAGCCGAGTCAGGGCAGCGTGCGCTGACCCAAGCCGGAGCCGCGCGTCCTCCCGGTGTCATGTGATAGCCCGGGGCTGCCCGCGGGGATGCGGTAGACCGCGCCAAAAAGCTGCGGCCCCGGCTTGGGTCAGCGCACGCTGCCCCGACTCGGCTACCTCACGTTACCGGGGCCCTGGCTTTGGGCGCGGCTTCTGCTCATACTTTGTGGTGCGGTGGTGGTGCGTCGGGCTGCGCGCTCTGACTTCGGCCAAGAAAAATGCGTCAGCTGATCATTGTCATTTCTGCCACTTGCGTGTGGTGAAATGGGGTCATAACTTATAAGACGGCTTTTTCATATCAATTATTTTACATAAAATCATATTTCAAACCAGAAATAATGTTCGACAGCCAAATAAAAGAAACAATACCAATACGGGCTTACAGTTTAAGGCTCGACATTGTGTTGTCTACGATTAGACAGCTGATAACTCATTCCCGTACGTCGTATGGTCGTAACACTATAATGACCTTTGCTTATTGTCACAAGTGCGCCGCATTCGCGATTGTTGCCCGACGCCTGTTTGCAGGTGAGCCCACTACAGTTGTTATACATATCTAAAAACCGATAAACTTTTAGGCGAAAAAGGCACTATTCCAGGCCCATTTTTGATTTTTTTTTTGCGATATTAGGGAAAAACAGAAGCTTCTTATCCTAGGAAAAATAAAATGGGAAATCTTTCAAAGGTGGCACACTACCTTTAAACGAGCGCTATTTATTGGCTAAGGATAGCATGGGGCATAAGTGGTAGGTACCAAGGCACCGCCCATAAAGGTAACACTTAAACGATAATGTAACATTTAATTATGTTGGTTTGCTACCAAAGGCGCGTTTTATTTCATTGAAATAGGTACTTGAGCATTTCAAAATACTTAATACTGAAGTATTTTAAATATACCTAAACTTAAACTCATGCCAATCAACGTTATTATTATGATGTAAATTTACATTAATGCCAGATGACGACGCCACACAAACGATTCGGATGACTAATCAGCAATTCCTTTCTTCCTATTCAGCACTCTCTCCTAATGACCACTAGCAGCAAGCTATGCATCTTCAGTCTCGCTCCACTATAGACTTCATTATGGTCGACTGCAGGTTTCAATACACCACTATGAATCACACAGCTGACGCCCTTCCTAAGAAACCGACTGTCTGAGACTGAGGCCAACGTTGAACGTCTTTAAAAAATATCGCTGCTTTCTGTTATTGAGATAAGCGTTCTTATACTCATCACTGTCTCACTTAATTAAAAAACAAATGTTGCTACAAAACCACCGCCTTTTTTTCGGAGCGAGACAAATATTCTTACGAATCACCGCTTCCTCACATTGAGCCAAATATTCTTACAACTCACCGCTGTCTCAGAACGAGTTAAATCTTCATACAAGCCCTCCGCTGCCTCACATTGTTCTTACTACCTCACCGCCCTCGTCAGGATGAGGCGGATGTACGAGACGGGGATGGTCCACCGGTTCTATCGCCAGTGGTACTGGGACGCCACCACCATGAAGTGCGACTCGGCCGGCACTCTGCGGGCCCTATCCATCTTCGACATCAGCGGCATGTTCTTGGTGATGCCGGCAGGTGGGTAGCGTGTTCATACAGCTCAGCGATCCCTTGGGGAAGACAAACAGATGGGCCGCCTGGTGTAGACTTCAATAAAGTGTGTGAAAGTGGACGTTTCTGTGTCATCATGCACATGGTGTATCCGGGAACGTGTATTAATGGGAGTCCATTGAGCAGTCTGTCAATAGATGATAATTACATTCACTGCGCGCCAATGAATAGACGTATAGGGGCTGACGGACCAAGGAAGTAACGTAAAAAATAAACAATGTTTGTTGAATTTGTCGTTACGGCGCATCCGTAATAATGCATGTAAAGGCCCCTCGCTGAATGGGTCTAGTGTGTGCGCTCCGAATTGACACAGAATAAGGAGGCGGTGAATGACGAAGTCGATTGTAATTATCGTGACACGTCGCCACTATGTTTGCCATGGTTCTGCGTCATCCGGCGTCCCCACATTTGTCCATGGAATGACAGCTTATTGAGGATTTTTGGTTTACACACTGCTGCTGAGACATCAATTAGTAGCCAACGTTTTCATAAAGAAAAAATGCTGTCTTCCGTATTTAATTGAAGCTTTACGTATTTTATCGGTATGCTATGTTCAGGCCCTCAACATTTCAAAGCCCTCTCAGACCTTTGTTGCATTATATGTATATCAACTTCAGACGTTGTTGACATTCCACTGCCGTTTCAGGCGTGGCGCTGAGTGTGGTGCTGCTGGTGCTGGAACACCTAATAATGTGGTGCTCTAACCGGGCGGACATCCGGTACAGCTCCGACGCCTGGTTCTACCGCCACGGTACCGACCATCGACTGTGGACGTGAATCTCTCTCTCTCTCCCCCCCTCTCTCTCTCTCTCTCTCTCTCTCTCTCTCTCTCTCTCTCTCTCCCTCTCGCTCTCACTCTCTTTCTCTTTCTCTTTCTCTTTCTCTTTCTCTCTCTCTCTCCATCCCCCTCTCGCTCTCACTCTCTCGCTCTCGCTTTCTCTCTCTCTCTCTCTCTCTCTCTCTCTCTCTCTCTCTCTCTCTCTCTCTCTCTCTCTCTCTCTCTCTCTCTCTCTCTCTCTCTCTCGCTCTCGCTCTCGCTCTCTCTCTCTCTCTCTCTCTCTCTCTCTCTCTCTCTCTCTCTCTCTCTCTCTCTCTCTCTCTCTCTCTCCCTCTCTCCCTTAGAAAGAGCAGGTGCGGGACCGGAGCCAACTCAATCGGGGGAGAGCGATCCGCTGCAACGGGGAGAGAGCACTGAAGTGATGGCGTCATGTTCCCATTAGCTGCACTGATGCGATGTGCGATACAAGACATTCTAGTCACGAGAGAGATAGCACATATGCTCTGCTGTAATTGGGAAGTAGTGATCTGAGGATCATACCCATGACCGTATCGTTTACTGTTGGTTCAGCAAATGCATCCCACCTCTGAAGAGATTGTGCCTATAGTATATGCCTTTTGGATGGACATTGTGATGCCGAAGTGATTTACTTTTCCCAAACATATGCAGGTTCATTTATACACTATAGTCTATACTGTACATCATGCATATTGCATGAAGTGTCAGGCACACACTTAGGCGTCGGTTTGATTATTAAACGCCCAGCGGAGGTGAGCCAGGGGAAAACCCTCATTTGCAGCCGAGGCGTTAATTCATCGAGTGTTTGGCGCCGAGTTACACCCAACGCTCAATGTTTGTGTTTGCTGTTGCGATGAATATGTGAAATAACATTTGAGGGGACCTCTTAAATGGACTTGAACGTGTCATGCCATAGCATAGCCTAAATGTCAAATGTGCATTTATGTGCATTTATAAATGACACGATCATAAGCAAAATGGGAACAAGCACGCAATAACGTGAACTTCAAAGTTCAAAGACTAATGGATAACCGCAGAATCCACTTATGCCACCTGACCAAATACCAAACACCGATCGAAAAAGCATGAGTACACATTTAGTGTCGTCTTTGTTGCTGTCACATCATCGATAAATTATAAATAGCCTACATCAGAATCTTTTCGAAATTGAAATATCTGTGTAAGCGCTGCCACGTAGGCGCATTGTCCAGTGGTTAATCAAAATAGCAAATAACTCGAAACAATTTGATCACTTTTCTGTGAGATTCCGAATTGCAAAAAAAAATCGCTGTTTTATCCGTGGTTTTATCGACATCACGACTGTCTCGCTATCAAAAAGGGATCCACGATCAGACTTAAAACATCGTATCGTCATGCACTTTTATTGTGAAGAGCGTCTAAGGACATCGATCGTGCCATAATCGCTTGGACCACATGTGGCTCAAAATAAACACATTTAAGTTCAACGTCTCTTAAAACAAATCCAGTATCAACAATGCACGCCCATAAATTTAAACCATTCGTCATGCCATTCCAGTACGGAATGCGGCAGGATGTGCCCAGTCAGCCCATCCGGTATGAACGTTACTCTCATCGGCCCCTCACTGGACCGTAAACTCGGTCATCTCGCTGCCGCCAAGGCCAGAAATGGCTTCCGGAGACGACCCTTTGACATTACAACATCCACGATGTCACCACAGTTGCGGCGGTGACGTCCCAGCGATGACGTCCCAGGGATGACATCCCGGCGATGACGTCCCACCGATGACGTCCCAGCGATGACGTCACAGCGATGACGCTACTGCACTAGCCGCTCCATGGAGGAGAAGCCGGCGGAGCTCAGCTCCAGGAACCCAGAGTCCTCGCTGCGAGCTCCCAGGCCGAGCTGGATGTGACAGCTCTTTGTCTGAAAACAAAGAGGGAGACGCCGTGTTAGAAAAGTTGCACACACTGGCTGCAAGAAGGTACATGGAAAAATGCATGGTACGATTATACGAGAGGGAATAGGCGCTTCCGATCTTATCGGATGCGATTGCCATGACATTCTTTACTTCAGACTTTTGCATTTATTTTGCCAAAAAGCAAAAAGTTAGTCACGAGTGTGCACGCTCAGACTGCAGGTCAGACGAGTGCCATATCACAAAGTATGCCATGAAAAGGAACTCAGTTTTTTTTTTCCATTTCTTTAACATAACCAAATGTCTTTAAAACGCTAGTTCCGTACTGACCTTCGGACTGCAGTCGGGGTGTTGCGCGGCTGTCCGGCCGCCGGCCGCCCTCTTCTTGTAGTCGTCCTCCTCGCTGAAGGGGTTGTTGTTGTCGTCGGCCGAGTCGCGGAGCCAGGCCCCCGGAGCGCCCAGGTCCGGCGCGTCCGGCGGCGGCGTCATGCCGAACGTGGGGTTCTGAAACTGGTGGCCGGCGGGCCGGGTCCGGCCGCAGCGGCGCCCGCGCCGGCGCAGCCACAGCGCGGCGCCGACCAGCAGCAGCGCCAGCAGGCACAGCACCACGCCGATGGCGGCGCCGCTGCTGCCGCCCCCGCCCGAGGGCGGCTGAGCCGCGCTGGCCGCCCCCGCCGCCTCCCCCGCCCCGTCCGCCAGGTCCGTGTCGGTGAGCTCCGGCCGGCAGTCGGGCTGGCTGTCGGGACAGTAGCAGGCCACCTGACCCCCTCTCGGCAGGCACATGTGCCGACACCGGCCGTGGCGGCGACACGCGCTCACCGAGCCGTTCCGTTCGCCGAGCAGCAGCGGCTGCCGCAGTCTGTGCAGCACGTCCAGGGCCCGCAACTCCATGGCGTTGTTGTAGACGCGCTGACACCAGGCGGCGGCGCCGGGCCGCAGCGGCGCGTAGGTGCCGGTGCCCGTCTCAACGACCCTGGTGTGGCAGCGGCGCACCTGACTGCGATGGCTGATGACGTACGCCCAGTCCTCGAACACGGCCAGCCCCCGCGGCAGGTGGAGGCCTGACAGGTCGGCGGCGGCGCGTCCGCTGCCGTCCAGCCGCGCAGAGCCCAGCCGGTGGAAGTGCGTGTCCGACCACCAGACCAGTCCCGTGGTGCGGTCCAGGTCGACGCCGCCGCAGCGGCCCACCTTGTGGTCGGCCAGCACCAGCCGCTCGGAGCCGTCGGCGCTAAGGCGGAGGACGCGCCCGCTCCGGCGGCCGCCCGGAGGAGCGGCCAGCTCGGCACACGCTAGGAGGAAGCCCTGCTCGGGCACGGGGCGCAGCGCCAGCAGAGTCTCACCGGCCGTCCTCGCCAGCGTGCGGCAGAGTCCGTCGGCGGCACAGGCGCGTAGTACACCCGTCTCGCCCTCTCTGCTGGCCAGGTAGACGCTCTTCGTGGCCCACTCGAGTGCCATCGCCGTCACCCCGGTGGCGTTGGCAACGACCGTGCGTGGCGGCTGGTCGTCCCCGGCCGGCACGGCCAGCACGGCGCCGCGGTAGCTGTCGTAGAAGTACAGCGTCTCCGTCCAGGCGTCGTAGTCTGAGAAGGCCAGCGTCGTATTATCGTTGCGGTAGATCAGCTGCAGGTTCTTGTGGCGGACCGAGTCGGCGATGACCCGGCTGGCCTGAGTCAGCAGCAGGCGAGGGGAGGTGTTGGCGCGGCACGCCACTCCGTCCGGCTCCAGTCCGTAGCCGGCCAGGCAGCCGCAGCGGAAGCCGCCCTCGGTGTTGTTGCAGAGCTGCCAGCAGGGCGCCGCGCCGGTGGCGCACTCGTCCACGTCCCGGCAGGTCTTGCCGTCGGCCTGCAGCTGGAACCCGTCCAGGCAGCCGCAGACGGGCGCCGTGGGCGTCGCGCGGCACCGGTGCGCGCAGATGTGCGTGCTGCAGGCCGTCTCGCACATGCCGCCCTCGTCGCTGCGGTCGCCGCAGTGCGCCACGCCGTCGCACACCTCGGCCGAAGACAGGCAGCTGAAGCCGTCGGCGCAGGCGAACTGGTCGTCGGCACAGGCGGGCGTCGGCGGCGGGGTGCTCGTGGCCGGCGGGCGGCCGTCGCACTGCGCGGCCGCCTCGTCCCAGCCGTCCTCGCAGTCGCGCTCGCCGTCGCAGAGCCAGTGGGCCGAGATGCGCCGCTCTGTGCCCGGACAGGTCGGCTCGCCGCAGCCCAGCTCGTCCTCGCCGCCCTCGCAGTCAGCAGTGCCGTCGCAGAAGGCGGTCAGGGATAGACAGCGGCCGTCCACGCAGGCTCGCTGGTTCTCCTCACACGCCGCCTTGTCCTCCTCGCGTGGCTGCAGGGGCGGCAGAGGCGTGGCCGTCCCGTTACCACCGCAGTGCGCTCCCTCGTCGCTGGAGTCGGCGCAGTCAATCACACCGTCGCACCAGAGGTCGGCGCTGACGCAGCGGCCGTCATCACACCGCCGGCTCTCCTCTGTGCAGTTCTTGAGGCGCTGGCAGTCGGCCGGCTCGTCGGAGAGGTCCACGCAGTCCGGGTGGCCGTCGCAGAACCACTCGGCAGCCACGCAGCGCCGGCTGGTGACGCAGGTGAAGGAACTGTTGCTGCAGGCGCCGCCGCCGCAGTGCGCCTCGTCGCTGCCGTCCGTGCAGTCAGAGTGGCGGTCGCAGCGGTAGTGCGCCGGCACGCAGTAGCCGGTGCCGCAGCGGAACTGGTCGGCGTCGCACGACCGGTCGGCGCAGCCGTCCTCGTCGCTGGCGTCGCTGCAGTGCGGCGTGCCGTCGCAGCGCAGAACCGACGAAAGACACTCACCGGAGGTGCAGTTGAACTCGTCGGCGCCGCAGATAGCGATGCGCCGGTGCGGGCAGTCGGCCTCGTCCTCCCCACCGGGGCAGTCGGGAGAGCCGTCACAGCGCCAGTCCGCCTCCAGACAGGTACCCGACTGGCAGGCGAACTCGCGCTCCGAGCAGGCAGCGGGGGCGCACGAGCGGCCGTCAGACGCCGGCTGTCGGCCCGTGCCGCAGTCACACTGCTCGCCGCGCTCAGAGTTGTGCAGACAGAGCTCAGCGCAGTGCAGGCGCGGGCAGCGGCTCCCCCCGCGGAGTCGCAGCACCTCTTTCAGCCGGTCCACTCCGACAGCAGCCAGCCGCAGGAGAGGCTTCACGTCTCTGCCGTCCACCGCCTCGCCGAGTGACTGGGCGAACTGGTGGCCGATGTTGTTCAGCTGCACCCAGTGCAGCCGCCACGAGTGCATATCGCTCCAGAACATCCGACCAGAGGTGACGGCGACGGACAGCGGGCCCGCCAGGAACCGCTTCAGCGCCCGCCGCTCCGTACCGTCGAAGCGAATGCTCTCAATCGCGCCGGCTTGCGCGTCCGCCCAGAACAGACGGCCGCTGGTGTCATCGGCGGCGAGTGAAGACGGCGTCTGGAGTCTCTCAGAGACGAGCGCGCGGCGCCGGCTGCCGTCCAGCTCCATCTGCTGAATGGAGCCCGCGCGACCGCCCAGTGCCAGGAACAGGAGGCGCTCGGACGCCGACGCGGCCAGCGCAGTCAAGTGGCGCAGACCGTCCGCGATGAGGCGACGGTGACTGCCGTCGACGCTGGCCAGTTCGATCGTGCCGCGCGAGCTGTCCGCCCAGTAGATGTTACCGCGCACCGGGTCGGTCGCCAGAGCCACCACCGTCGTCAGGTGTCCAGAGACGAGCGTGCGCTGGCGTCGCGTCTCCAGGTCCACGGCATGGATGGCGCCGTCGGCGGAGTCTGCGTAGAGCAGCGTCAGGTTCAGGCCGTCTCCAACCGGCACCCAGTCGAGTGTGACGGCCGTCACCATCCGGGCCGGGTACTCGATCGGCGTGGCGCCGACGCCGCCCAGCACCCCGACCGGCACGTCCAGCAGCAGGTCAGAGCCGGCCAGCACCACCTGACTGGCGTTACCCGGGTGGCAGGTGAAGCCGTCGTGTCCGAGCCGCTCGCCCTCCGAACAGAAGCAGCGGTGGCCGTGTGGGGAAGTCTGAGACGGCAGGCACAGGTGCGAGCAGCGAGAGCCGACGCAGGTGTTCGGCAGTGCCGGCTGCAGAGAGGCGTGCAGCGCTGCTATCCGGAACGACCAGATGCTGCGCCGTTTGTAGACGCTCGTGCGGTTCTTGCCGGTGTACTTGTTGCACACGTGCACGTCCTCGGAGTCGAGGTCGGACCAGAAGAGGCTGGAGCCGAGCACGGTGAGTGAGAATGGAGCGCGCACCAGCAGCTCGGGCACCTCGCGCCGGTCGGAGCCGTCTAGCAGGCAGCTCTCGATGACGCGCCGGCTGGTGTCGGTCCAGTAGAGCCGGCGCGCCGCCGGGTCCACGGCCAGGGAGCGCGGCGTCTCCAGGCCGGTCAGCGGCAGAGGAGCCGCGTCCGCACCGTCCAGCCCGGCCCGCGTGATCTGGCCGCCCTTCTCGCTGATCTCTGACCAGAACAGGAAGCCCTGCTGCGGGTAGACTGCCAGTGCCAGCAGCCGGCCGCTCGGCCGCACCAGTACGGCGCAGTGGCCGAGCCAGTCGCAGGCGGCCAGGTGGCCCCGCTCGGCGTCAGCCAGGTACAGCACGCGCGCCACCCACTCCCAGGCGAGCGCGTCAGCCACGCGCACGCCGCTCATCAGGAACAGGTCGATGGGGGCGCGCTGAAAGTCTGCGCGCCTCCTCACGCCGCCGCCGCCGTCCGCCGTCCGGAAGCCCCAGTACGCGGTGCGCGTGGCCAGCTCGCCGGTGACGGCCAGCACCCGCTCGTCGCCGGCCGGCGCCAGGGTGTGTAACCGCCGGGAGCGCGGCGCCAGCTGGCGCACCGTGTCACCGTCAGCCAGCAGCAGCTCCGGCTCGGCGCTGTCGGCCGCCAGCTCGCAGGTCCTGTTGTCGGCTCCCAGCTGCAGCCCCGGCGGGCAGAAGCACCCACCGCCGGGCTGGCAGTCGTACTCGCAGCCGCGGCCCACACAGGAGCCCTCGGACAGGCAGCCGCCGGTGGAATCAGGGACCGCACCCTCGGGGCACAGACAGAGGTGGCCGCCGGCTGGTGTCGGCCGACAGGTCTGGCTGGCAGTGCACGTGGCAGGTGAGCAGGTGTCGCGCCGCGCGCAGCCGGTGCCCTCGTCGGAGCCGTCGGAGCACTGCGGCCGGCCGTCACAGACAGCGGCAGCCGAGATGCAGCCAGCGCCGTCCGAGCACCGGAATTGACCCGGCAGGCAGCGGGCGGAGTCGGCCGCCCTCGACTCGGTGCAGTTCCGCTCGTCGGAGCCGTCCGGGCAGTCCTCGTCACGGTCGCACAGCCAGGAGATGTGCACGCAGTGGCCCGAGTCGCACTTGAAGCCGCCCTGGCACGAGACGCTCGGACAGTCCTTTTCGTCGCTGCCGTCGTTGCAGTCCTGTTCCCCATCGCAGCGCCACGAGATGGGGATGCAGCGGCCGCACCAGATGGACGGCGGCAGACACTGGCTCTTGAGGTCCTCGGTGGGCTCCACGCCCGGCGGGCAGTCCTGCTCGTCCGAGCCGTCGCCGCAGTCGTCCGAGCCGTCGCACCGCTGGCTGGCCGGGATGCACGCCTTGCCGTCCGAGCAGAGGAACTCGCCGTCCCCGTCGCACGTCGACAGCGAGCCGCCGTTGGAGTAGAGCAGCGCCGCCACGGTCCCGGTGGTCAGAAAGGCGTCGGCGGGCGGCGCGCGGCCGCACGCGCTCACCAGCACCAGCGCACAGCGCACCCACAGCATGGCGACGGCGGCGCGCTCGAGTAAATGGCCGGGCGCGGCCGGCCACCGCCGGACAGACCTCAGGTCGGGTCACGTGACACGCCCGCGGGCCGCCGGCAGGCGCGGCGCCAGGCACGGCAGACGGCCGGACGGCTCGCCCGCTGGCCTCGGGAGTGAAAGCTGCTTCTGAGTACGATTCTAGACAGTAGACTTTTGGACCACAATCTTACGTCATAATTATTCAGCAACGCCCGAGATAAAAATCGCATAAACGCTGAGGTTAAATTTATTTTCTTATCGATAACATTCTATAAGTCATGGTTACAAGTATTTCACATATTTACACGTATCAAGATCATAATTGGCGTAATTTATACATCACCATGCCCAGATTAGAGTTGGAAAGTGTAGCCATAAAGCCAAACAGCCAACAGAGCGCAGTTTTTTTCTCAGTTATCGGTATGAGCTGGCCGCACTGGAGCAGATAACTGAGCTCGATACGAAACGATGGCCCAAAACTCACAGCTGGGCCCACAGTTCACCGACAGCGGTCGCTCACAGGCCTCGGACCACAGCTCACAGTTGAAAAATCACACATCCTCCACACCACAATTCCAGAGCACAGCTCGTATCCGCCGGCCAACAGATACTGCCCCAGACCCACGGGTCACTGTTAGTTCACAGCCCCACGGCCTACTCACAGCTCACACTTTACAAGTCACGCTCACGTCCCCCACAGCACACCGAAGTCCACAGTCCACAGCTCACCACTCACGAGCCACCCACAGTCCCACAGGCGGTAGCTCACAGACCGAAGAACTCTGTCGGCATATACATGTTAAAGTTCAATCGTTACTTCAGAAACACATGATTTGATCACCATAGGTTGACTTAGACGGCAATCATTCAGTTTCGTTTTTTCCCACCGCAGTGATAAATGGGGTTGATAAATGCGAAGGCGATATAAGTATGTATTTCGGTGTCACTGGTTCCGTCTTTTATACCTATGGTATTGCTCTCATTCATTACCCCCGAATTATTCCACAGAATAGCCGGACTTGTCCCTTTTTACCGTATTATTCGTTTGGTCTGGGACACATTAAATTTATAATTCTAACTTTTCTCGATTTTTCTTATATTTGACACTCTGTCCTTCGTTTTATTCTTGTAGAAATACCTAAGCTTCTCTAAAAACAGCTATTTTGCGTTAGCCGAAAAAAATCAGTTCAAACTCGGTTAAATATCGATGTATTGTATGTGTAGTATGCTGGTGTGTGCGTATCAGCGTAGTCAATCAAATGAGCTAAAATAGGGCTTGACAGAACTGAACAATCTATAGTGAGCAACAAAAGCAAGAGGCGAAGTAAATCTTCCTGCCAAACATGCAGCACCGATCACACGTGACCTCCCCGGAGGCACACATGGCAGAGTACCCAGGGAACTCGGTCAGGTGGCGAGAGGACCCGGGCAGGGGCCGCGCGGCACGACTGCACGGTATTCCCCGGCCGCTGAATAGATAGACCCGGTCATACAACTCAGAGGTGTGCCAACTGCTAAACCATATATGATGAGTACCGAGAGCGCTCTCGATACTCATCATAAATGGTTTAGCGCCGTTGTGCATTAAGTGATGGGAAACGGACTCGAATATGTAGGAATAAGTGTAACTGTAGACCGTAGAAATACGAAGGTATTTGGTATAAATAAAGAAATTCATGGGCACGGGCCAGCGAGGGACGAAAAGAGGAAATTAGGATTGACATGACGGGGGGGGGAGAGGTCATTCACAAGCAAGAGAAAGGTCTCGAAGGGCCGTGTTATTTATTGTTCGTGAACCCTAAAAATAATGTATGGGAATATCGCTTTTAAATACAACTACAAAAACAAACATTGCTGTCAGTATGAGGATGCTGAAGCCTAAACAACGGACAGTCCTGTGACCTGCACAATGCGACGGATTTCTCGACGCCTTATTCATAAGAATAGTCTCGCGGGACTGCATATTGAATATAGACTGCACGGCTAGTGACAGCTACATTCAAGCCGCCGAGAGAGTATGTTTTATGCAGGACGTCCTATTTGGTGAGCGCCTAAGTCACCGGGCGGCGGCGGCGGCCCGCGCCCCGCGCCCCAATGACCTCCTGCTCAGCACACGGCGGGACCGGCGGGTTCAGCGGCCGTCTACCGGTGACCTGCCTGGCGTCCTGCCAACACCCGGCCCAGGCCCGCCGTTGATGGACTGGGCAAAAGTAGGTAGAGGACACATCACTGTGCAGTCCTTCGTATGCTGACCGTATTCGCTGTAGAGAGAAGCCGATGTGAATGAATCACGACTTAATGTTGTTCTATGCATCGTACTTGAGAACGAATAGCCCCCATAGATTCCAGACATTTTAGTACCTACATATATGACTTTCGATTCACGAGGTAAACGTGCAAATGCAATATCACTTAGTATTAGGTAAGCCGTAAGTGCCCCAGTGTCAGTGGTCCGGTTGATACACATAACGATGCTAATAAACCGAGACACGTGATGCCGGTCAGCACCCGACAACTGCCAATCATGGGATGCTTCCTCCCCAGCTCCCCCCTCCCCTATGCCCAACGCACTACTGGATCGGCTGTGGCGTGAGCTGTCGATTCAAGCTAATATCCACGGTCACATTCCTTCTCAATATGGACGGATTACTTGTTAGTATCGTATCACCTGACGACATCAATACAATGACGTCATACACACCATTGTCCACCTTACACCGTCCAAAGTCCTTGGTTTACCCACGTGCACGTGCCGTCCTCCACGCCTCCACAACTGCTCTCAAAAGATACCACCTGTTGACATCTCACTTCTCTTTCCGTGTGCGTCTTCCCTCTCTCCGTGTGTGACATGCGTGTTTTAGTGCGCCTGTGGAGTATGACGCGGACGGCGGACGTCACTATCGCCGATAGCCCGGCGGCTATCAGTGCAGTGTCGCGGCGGCCGGGGAGCGCTGTGTGCCGGGCGGCGGGCCGACCGGGGCGGCGCGCGCGTCAGTCAGGATGCGGGTGTCGTGGCGGCGGCTGACGCTCGGCGTCAGTCTGCTGGCGGGCGCTCTGGTGTTCCTGGCGCTGACAGAAACAGAGACCGTGCACCGGCGCAGGTCGGCCAGGAGCAGGGTGACGGCGCCGGTGGTGACGACGACCACGACCGAACGGCTGGCGCCAGGTGAGCACTGGGCGGGTGAGCAGGCGCTGAGCTGAACAGTGAACACTGCAAAACACTTGGCGGCACTCAGATGACGCTGAGCCTTATGGTGATTTTGGGTGGAAATGTCCATTGAGATTAAATTTTTGTGCTGTACCAATATTAAACTATTCTAAAGTTTGTTTGGTTCAGTGTTATTCGTTGTTTTGGTTGAAAGTTTGCTTGGTTTCGGTTTTTCAATTATCTAAAACTGACATCACATCTGATTTAGCGGTTGCCGCTCATCCACAATGAAAATGTAAGAAAAACATTCTACTGACCTAAATATGTCATATGCAGCTAAGGTTCCAGCGATACGTTCGCCACGGATTCATTGTCAAACATGTGTCACTGTTTGGTAAAACCACTATCGTTTGGGAAACTATCGATCTGGTCCCCGATACAGACCCTGGTTTTGGTCAGCCGTAGCATGTGCCTCTTAGAAAATATCCATTGGGTTATTCACTGCAGACTGCGGGCGAAAACACATCTCGTGCCGCCAGAAGACTGAAGGCAAAACAAATGAATACAAAAGACGAAAACGAATAACAACCGAATAAAGTGTACGTTTTGATCTAATGAGCGGTTTTAAACCAAGTGACATAATTTGAGGTGTACGTGAATGCACATTTTACCACAAAATACTCATTAACCTATTTGGCTACCTTTTGAAAGGTCTGTACATGAATTCCAAATCATTGAACGGCTTTGAAAATGCACCGTGTCTTACCACTTTGTCAGGGGCATGAATAGTGGCGTTACACGGGTTTGAGGGTAAAATACAGGACGAACACCGATATATCCGTATCGGTTGGCCTCCTCTCGACGGAGCCGACCGTCGCGTCAGCCGTCACGGAACGGACCACAGGCACGGTGAGACTTCTGGCCTCACAACACTGTAGTGAGGTCTATGTGCTGGAGAGTAGGTCAGGCTGCATGGTGCAATGGCGGCGTGTAAACTCCGCTTGCAGCTGCTTTCTGCAAGCGAGCAATAAATCATGGGAAAGCACACAAGAGTTGTTAACGTCTGTACGCATGTGCAATATTGTGCATTTCTCAGACAATCGAAGTGAAAACATTGACTTCATCTGTAGTTTTCAGTAATAGTTAGATGACTGCGTTTTGCCGAATTCACAGCAGCTACCGTAAAAGAGACTTAAACTAATCGAACTTGAGAGATATATTGTGACTTGCCGGGATGCAACTGCATTAGTTTCCTACTTTTAACCCGCGCCCCGTAGGGGGGGCCGAAACGGCCCCCCCCTGTCCTTTTCGGTCGATATCTCCTAAACGGCTGGAGATATCGCCACCAAACTTTCAGGACCCCTCCGGGCATCAATTTTACACATTGTGACCAAAAATGTTTCCAGAGGCTGTGATAGGTTGGCCACAAATGACGTCAGAGTGACGTCATGTTCTGTCATTTTCGACCGAAAAAAGACCTTCGCGAGAAGACCTGTCAGGCCTACAGCTTTGAAGATACAGAAAAATGATCAAGACATAAAAGGTGTAGAATTGACAGAGCTACAAAACTGCTATCTCGGATTTTTGAAATTTTTGAGTTTTGATCCCCAAAAATCAAAAAAGCATTTTTTTGGATATATTAGCCAATATCCAAAAAGTTTTTTGAGTTTCGAAAAAAACCGGAATATATGTGATAGTACCTACCGTCTTCTATCTACATACCAAATTTCAGATCGATACCTCGTTTTTTGGCCAAGTTATAGCGAAAAAAACTGTTCAAAAATGATGACGTCAAATTTTCAAACTCAATTTTTGGCAATTCTAGAACTCGTAGAGCAAAACAAAGACCACCATTAGACTCCCCGTGACGAGCTGCATCGAATGGATACCCATTTTATGCAAAAATATCAACTTTGAAATTTGACCTAATTTGACCTGACCTTGACCTGACCTTCACCAAAACGTGACCTAGGCTGGCCCCAAAGGCTGCCTAACCCACATAATCGCATTTGTCATGTAAAATGGACCATAAAACATGCATCACACGACACATTCATATTGTGACCCACGGTGACCTGACCTCGCTGTGACCTGACCTGGTATCAGTGACCTCAGATAGCAAAGTATGTGTTTGACGAACAATATACCATCGATGGTTTTCAATAAATTACCAATTTACTCGATTTCACAGCACATTTCTTGAATTGCCTGTGAACGGTGAAAATCTGACTTTTGACCTGACCTGTGACGTCATCGGTTTGACCTAGGTCAATGAAATTTGGTCACAAGGTAGTTCCCGGGTAGGGCTATCAAACGCCGTTTGAATTTTGAAAATCGGCCAGTAACTTTCCGAGATCTTAGGGGGGGCCGAAACGGCCCCCCCCCCCCCTACGGGTGGTAGGGTCCGCCGGTAGCCCTACGGGGCGCGGGTTAATCAACGACAGTGGTTATGACTCATTATTTCTGGTGGCGCAAGTCTGACGCGGTGCCGGCTCAATGAGATGTATAAAAGGGAACCCTGGAGCCTCGGAATAACCGCTACTTACTTCCCCAGTGACTAAGACCCCCCCCCCCCATGTCACCGTCTCCTGTTTCGTCTCCTGTTTGTATACGGGTCTCCTGTTTCTCTACCACTCAGCACATACCCCTCTCCTGAACGACAAACTGATCCAAGTCCTGTGACCGATGCGATCACGGTAGAACAGATCCCATTTCAGGGCTGGCCGCTTGCCAGCCTTTCATCGTGTCCAGTGGCGGCGGAATGGGGGGGGGGGGGCCACTGCCGACTTGGTCCAATTCTTTTAATGCAACGCCCATAGGGCTACTGTTAAAATGCGTAAATCAAAGAGGGCACGATGCCCTCCCCGTTCCGCCGCCTATGATCGTGTACCGCGCCCAGACTATCTTGCTACCCCTGGCCATGTGATGCAACCAGGGGTGTCGTTTTCCGAAAATGATTGGTAGTGCCCAAAGGCGTCGGACGGCCATATATGACGGGGGTTTACCAAGGTAGGGTACCCCCAAATCTGCCTTTCTCATCGAATTTCGGCCACTTATTTTCCCGCTTTGGTCACTGGCAAGACAAATTAAAATATGTTTTTAAAAAATATTGGAAATCTAGGCCATTACCGGACCCGATGCACACAACGTGCAGTTGTAAAGGCACTATTAGGGGAAGTTGGGGCAATGCCGGAGTTGGGGCAAAGCCGAAATTCGAGATATTTCTAAAACCGTACGACATGGATGCCACGTCTCAGTGATGCTCTGAAGCTTAAGTGACTACAATTATCGCATGTTACGAGTTGTCATTTGGAATACTTCGGCTGTGAGGGCGCCAAAAGCGTTTTCAAGGTACGTTTCCCTTGTACTACATGCGCCTTTGAAGCTGCATTTCTTACTCATTATGCTACCGTTTGTCTGGCCAATTCGGTCAAGTAATCTTCAGCATGTCTTTGCATAAGTGTGCTGCCTATTTGAAATTTATACAGCACGTTTAAAAGTTATGGGCCTGCAAATGAAAGTATGGCTGGCTGGGGTAATGCCGAAAACGTGCAATTACGCACGTTAAAGCACGCTACGTGGACTTTACTGCTGTAGAATAGCAACGCGGCCCTGGTGGCGCAGTCGGTTAGGGCGTCGACCCGCGGTGCGGGCGGTGCCGGATTCGGGTTCGATTCCCGGTTCCGCCCGTTCCGCGGGCGTCGTCCCCGGCTGTGTCACCAGGTGTGGGGTAGGCTCCCACTTCAGCCGTAGCCTGGGGGGTGGGGGTACAAGGGCCAGGAGGAGGAGGAGGAGCCCTCCTGTAAATGGGCCATGAGTGCCCGTTGGAGGGAGGCCTGAATAAAAAAAACGCGTATTTTTAGTCAAACAAATTACACTTTCAGCCGGCACAACGGCCTGTTACCTATAAGGAATAATTTACCTGGCATTTTCTTATTATATCACACAATTATAACTTCCAGTGTGCACCAAGCGTCCTCAAGCTCTTAAAACGCGTGTCAGCTTTGATGAATTTTGGATAAAGTTTGAGATAAATTGGCAAAACATCAATGTCGGCATTCCTTGTAGATCATTTATCCCATTTTCGGCTTTCCCCGCAGTCCGGGGCAACGCCGAAAAAGTCAGTTGTTTGTTATTTTTAGTTTTTGCGCTTAAAGGGACCCTCCCACCTTAACATTAGATTTGAGTTGAGATAGCCAAAATGGGGTCCCTGGCTCACAATTACCGGTTTCGGCACTCACAACATCGAGAAATGCCTTAAATCGGAAATATTGAATTTCAAAATTGCAGCATTTTGATTCAGAGGGGCTAATGCTTAGGAATACCCCTCTGAATGTGTGACGTCAGCGCAGATATCTAACGATTTTTAAATGTTCGACTAAAACGTTTTGTAGCACGCGGTGGTATATGCTATTTGCGCGCAACATCTGCCGCAAACGCCGCACTTCTAAAATAAAGTCGCTAGAAACAGCGGAGATCCCAAAAAAGTAAACAAAAGTAAAAGTCTAATATCTTGAAAACCGGTGAATATTTTTCGGTGAAATTTGGTAGATATTCGTTTTCGCTCTTTCTGAACCGAGCAACATCACTTTCATGCCAATTCATAAACTTTTTTGAAGGTGGGAGGGTCCCTTTAACGGTATGCGAATTCATCAAATGCGCCTGGTATGTTTGAAAGACAAAAGACTGGCCTCTCGAATGACGCCAACAAGAATAGCTTATGTTGTCTACCTTGCGTGCTACGGGCGTCAGAAAAAACGTATTCGGCGTTCCCCCAACTTCCCCTATAGTGTCAGTGGAACACATGCCATTTTGAAAGAGGCCCACACCGACTAAACAGCACGGTTGCGCTGAAATGGGCAGCCGGCAGGAAGGCTTTGAGGGCCCACGCCGAATGAAGGGTTCGATAACTAACGAGATATCGAAACACCACGATAGTTAGAAAGACCTGATTGATAACATAAAAGGATGTGAATTGGATTATGAGTTGAGTTTTCGTGATCTGATGCGTTAAGGACCTGCCGTTGGACCCTGAGGAATCAGGGTCAGTAGGACCTACTCAAATAAATATGGCCTACATATTCTGGAGCATCGTGGCACCCTCCGAAGTTGACGTAGAGCCTTCAGAGGCTGGTTTTGGAGACGGACCCTATTAGGGCCGCCGTCGCGCGGTGTGCGACGCTCAGAGGCATCGATGGCCCGTCTAAAACCACTGGTCTTCGAACCTCTTGGTATCCACCAAGGACTTGAGCCCAAGACACGACACCTCATTTCCAGATTCATGTGCTAACCGTGGTTAGAACCTTAGATGTGTAGGTATGTGCTTAGTCGCTTTTTTATTTTCCTTTTTTATCAATTGATGGCTGACAAAATATTGGTAGGGCTCAGGGAACATTGGTAGGGCCCAAATAAACATCGGTAGGGCTCGAGCCCTACCAGGCCTATACAAAACGACACCCCTGACTTGTGGAGTAACTAGTAAGTCTATAGATTTTCATCAATAGTTACCACTTACCATTGAAGTTACTTGCTATCATGTTGATTTTATACATAAGAACCTCATTCATTTTATTTGTATGACATGTTTGAATGCAATTTTCTCAATAAGTGAAGAAAAATGTTGGTAGTGCTCAACAACACATTGGTAGTGCTCAGCTGAACATTGGTAGTGCTCGGGCACTCCCAGGCCTATACAAAACGACGCCCCTGGATGCAACTTAATAGGGAGACACCCATAGCTCGAAACTACAGCCGCCTGTGGTGGGCGCCAATTTAATGGGGCGTCATTATTTATTTTGTGGGGTTACCTTTTTCGGCACAAGATAAAATGTGGACAAGATACCGACATGTTCTTGTTACACCAGCCCAGAAGGCGCGACCAGTTCTATACGTTGCAGGGGCCTATATAGGAGAATCGGTTGAGGGATAAGCCATCGAAATAATGAGTGCACTGTATCCTTCAGATTGGAGTGTAAAATTGTGAAGAGGTAATCAGGGTTACTCGCATACAGAGGCCAAAATTACAAAAAAGGCAAAATTGCGACCTAAATTGGCTTTATCAAGCCTCATTACATGTCCATCCACGTCGCAAATAAATGTAAGTTAGTTTAATTTTTACTGATATCGCCGCTATCTACCCGTTTTCTCAAAACTGCAAACTGTTAGTCTACTCGGTTCTTTTTTTTTCGGTTGTTCCCACTTAAGGGCTAGTTTATTGAACGGTTCGAACGGTTATCACACATGACGCACAATGTTCGTTGCAAGCTCGGCTACTACTCGGTTCTTTATTGCAGTCTTGCAATGATTGTAGATGTTGGCAGTACAATTGATCTTAAAAACTGTTGGCAAAAATTCACACGCACACACAAGGGCAAAATGGTCAGCAAGGCAAAACCCAATTATAACGAGCAGGTGAACCCACCAAACACGTCAACAGACACACTACCAACTGCACGACCATGATGCCTGACTCATACGTCATGAATAGCTTTTAACACAAACATAAATGACTAGATAACTTATTGGTTTTGACACGTAAACTAAAATCAATTAATGAATGTAAACCAATCAATGAATGCAATGATACAGATAAACCAATCATAACAGATAAATCATGGGACAAAGAAATGAGAAACATACTTCGTCCGGGTATCTGGGAGGTGTGTCAATCAGCCGCTCAACTAAGCAGGAGCATTTAGACAAATGATCAATCTTCAATCTCATTCAATGCTGGAATGAAAGAAGAGAAACTGTAACACTACACATTCGGGCAAGAATACAAAATCAACACAAAAAAGGGGAGATACTGTGAAAACAGGCACATGGACACGCACCGCTTCATGCGCCATGCAGCGACGAAATATGACGCGCCCGCGGCGCCTGTACCGCAACACTCCGGCGGTAACAGTAGGTACTCGTTTATTTTGATAAGTGTAACATTGAGCCTTAGGAGAGTCTTAGGAGAGTCCATCGAAAGGCACTTATCAAAATGAAACCTTTCGCAGGAAACCTTACCTTTGTTCGTTACTTTAGTAACTGAAAAACGAGTGCAAAAAATATCCTGGGAGCTAAACACCTCCGACTGTCAAACAGAATGATACAGCCCGGTCTGTCAGCTGCCGGTGCCGGCGCCAAGCGCGTCCTGTACCGGTCATATGTGTGCTGTCACTTATCCTGCCGCCCTGATGTCCGTCAAGACAGCCCATATTCAGCCCAGATTCAGCCCGGATTCAGCCCAGATTCGGGACACCTCCGATCAAGCTGAAACTCGCACAAAATGTAGGAACTGACATGCCCAATCCACAGTCCGAGTCATTCGGTGGCACTCCCAGCCGTTTGACCTACAGAGGTCAGCAAAGGTCACGTGGCCCAAATTTGCACAGCAGATTGTGGCCCACCCAGTAGAGCTAGAGCGCTAAAAATGGCACCAATCGACTCGCCAGCATCTAATCTTACTTTCCCAGCACTCATTTGACCTCTCAAGGTCATGCAATGACCTAAGGTCATTTGTGGGCTATGTCAAAAATACACTTGCACAGCAGTTTTCGAGTAGAGGGATTGACTGAATTTCAAATCAAAGCACATCATCGGGTAGCCCATAGGCCGTAGTAACTTTCCTTAAAAACCGCTTCTCGATATGTGACCCCGTTTGACCTCGGCAGGTCAAAATGTGCAAATAAACGATACTCCATACGTCGCAGCCCGGATTCAGCCCAGATTCGGGACGTCTCCGATCAAGCTGAAAATCGCACGCAATGAAGGAACTGACATGCCCAATCCACAGTCCGAGTCATTCGGTGGCACTCCCAGCCGTTTGACCTACAGAGGTCAGCAAAGGTCACGTGGCCCAAATTTGCACAGCAGATTGTGGCCCACCCAGTAAAGCTAGAGCGCTAAAAAAAATGGCACCAAACGACTCGCCAGCATCTAATCTTACTTTTCCAACACTCATTTGACCTCTCAAGGTCATGCGATGACCTAAGGTCATTTGTGGGCTATGTCGAAAATACATTTGCACAGCAGTTTTCCAGTAGAGGGATTGACCGAATTCCAAATCAAAGCACATCATCGGGTAGCCCATAGGCCGTAGTAACTTTCCTTAAAAACTGCTTCTCGATATGTGACCCTGTTTGACCTCGGCAGGTCAAAATGTGCAAATAAACGACACTTCATACGTCGCAGCCCGGATTCAGCCCAGATTCGGGACACCTCCGATCAAGCTGAAACTCTCACAAAATGTAGGCCATGACATGCCCAATCCACAGTCCGAGTCATTCGGTGGCACTCCCAGCCGTTTGACCTACAGAGGTCAGCAAATGTCACGTGGCCCAAATTTGCACAGCAGATTGTGGCCCACCCAGTAGAGCTAGAGCGCTAAAAATGGCACCAATCGACTCGCCAGCATCTAATCTTACTTTCCCAGCACTCATTTGACCTCTCAAGGTCATGCGATGACCTAAGGTCATTTGTGGGCTATGTCAAAAATACACTTGCACAGCAGTTTTCGAGTAGAGGGATTGACTAAATTCCAAATCAAAGAACATCATCGGGTAGCCCATAGGCCGTAGTAACTTTCCTTAAAAACCGCTTCTCGATATGTGACCCCGTTTGACCTCGGCAGGTCAAAATGTGCAAATAAACGACACTCCATACGTCGCAGCCCGGATTCAGCCCAGATTCGGGACACCTCCGATCAAGCTGAAACTCGCACAAAATGTAGGCCATGACATGCCCAATCCACAGTCCAAGTCATTCGGTGGCACTCCCAGCCGTTTGACCTACAGAGGTCAGCAAAGGTCACGTGGCCCAAATTTGCACAGCAGATTGTGGCCCACCCAGTAGAGCTAGAGCGCTAAAAATGGCACCAATCGACTCACCAGCATCTAATCTTACTTTCCCAACACTCATTTGACCTCTCAAGGTCATGCGATGACCTAAGGTCATTTGTGGGCTATGTCAAAAATACATTTGCACAGCAGTTTTCCAGTAGAGGGATTGACCGAATTCCAAATCAAAGCACATCATCGGGTAGCCCAAAGGCCGTTTTTAAGGATCGAGAAATCCAGAAGCGGTTTTTAAGGAAAGTTACTACGGCCTATGAGCTACCCGATGATGTGCTTTGATTTGGAATTCGGTCAATCCCTCTACTCGAAAACTGCTGTGCAAGTGTATTTTTGACATAGCCCACAAATGACCTTAGGTCATCGCATGACCTTGAGGGGTCAAATGAGTGTTGGGAAAGTAAGATTAGATGCTGTCGAGTCGATTGGTGCCATTTTTAGCGCTCTAACTCTACTGGGTGGGCCACAATCTGCTGTGCAAATTTGGGCCACGTGACCTTTGCTGACCTCTGTAGGTGAAACGGCCGGGTGTGCCACCGAATAACTCGGACTGTGGATTGACCATGTCAGCACCTAGATTGTGTGCGATTTGCAGCTTGATCGGAGATGTCCCGAATCTGGGCTGAATCCGGGCTGCGACGTATGAGTGTCGTTTACTTGCGGATTTTGACCTGCCAAGGTCAAACGGGGTCACATATCGAGAAGCGGTTTTTAAGGAAAGTTACTACGGCCTATGGGCTACCCGATGATGTGCTTTGATTTGGAATTCGGTCAATTCCTCTACTCGAAAACTGCTGTGCAAATGTATTTTCGACATAGCCCACAAATGACCTAGGATCATCGCATGACCTTGAGAGGTCAAATGAGTGTTGGGAAAGTAAGATTAGATGCTGGCAAGTCGATTGGTGCCATTTTTAGCGCTCTAGCTCAACTGGGTGGGCCACAATCTGCTGTGCAAATTTGGGCCACGTGACCTTTGCTGACCTCTCTAGGCCAAACGGCTGGGAGTGCCGCCGAATGACTTCGACTGTGGATTAGGCACGTCATTGCCTACTTTGTGTGCGATTTTCAGCTTGATCGGAGATGTCCCGAATCTGGGCTGAATCCGGGTTTCGACGTATGGAGTGTCGTTTATTTGCACATTTTGACCTGCCGAGGTCAAACGGGGTCACATATCGAAAAGCAGTTTTTAAGGAAAATTACTACGGCTTATGTGCTACCCGATGATGTGTTTTGATTTGGAATTCGGTCAATCCCTCTACTCGAAAACTGCTGTGCAAATGTATTTTCGACATAGCCCACTAATGACCTTAGGTCATCGCATGACCTTGAGGGGCAAATGAGTGTTGGGAAAGTAAGATTACATGCTGGCGAATCGATTGGTGCAATTTTTAGCGCTCTAGCTCTACTGGGTGGGCCACAATCTGCTGTGCAAATTTGGGCCACGTGACCTTTGCTGACCTTTCTAGGTCAAACAGCTGGGAGTGCCGCCGAATGACTTGGACTGTGGATTGGGCACGTCATGGCCTACATTGTGTGCGATTTTCAGCTTGATCGGGGATGTCCCAAATCTGGGCTGAATCCGGGCTGCGACGTATGGAGTGTCGTTGATTTGCGGATTTTGACCTGCCGAGGTCCAACGGGGTCACATATCGAGAAGCGGTTTTTAAGGAAAGTTACTACGGCCTATGGGCTACCCGATGATGTGCTTTGATTTGGAATTCGGTCAATTCCTCTACTCGAAAACTGCTGTGCAAGTGTATTTTCGACATAGCCCACAAATGACCTTAGGTCATCGCATGACCTTGAGAGGTCAAATGAGTGTTGGGAAAGTAAGATTAGATGCTGGCGAGTCGATTGGTGCCATTTTTAGCGCTCTAGCTCTACTGGGTGGGCCACAATCTGCTGTGCAAGTTTGGGCCACGTGACCTTTGCTGACCTCTCTCGGTCAAACGGCTGGGAGTGCCGTCGAATGACTTAAACTGTGGATGGAGCACGTTATGGCCTACATTGTGTGCGATTTTCAGCTTGATCGGAGATGTCCCGAATCTGGGCTGAATCCGGGCTGCGACGTATGTAGTGTCGTTTTTTTGCACATTTTGACCTGCCGAGGTCAAACAGGGTCACATATCGAAAAGCGGTTTGTAAGGAAAGTTACTACGGCTTATGGGCTACCCGATGATGTGCTTTGATTTGGAATTCGGTCAATTCCTCTACTCGAAAACTGCTGTGCAAGTGTATTTTCGACAAAGCCCACAAATGACCTTAGGTCATCGCATGACCTTGAGAGGTCAAATGAGTAATGGGAAAGTAAGATTAGATGCTGACGAGTCGATTGGTGCCATTTTTAGCGCTCTAGCTCTTGGGTGGGCCACAATCTGCTGTGCAAATTTGGGCCACGTGACCTTTGCTGACCTCTGTAGGTGAAACAGCTGGGAGTGCCACCGAATAACTCGGACTGTGGATTGAGCATGTCAGCACCTACATTGTGAGCGATTTTCAGCTTGATCGGAGATGTCCCGAATCTGGGCTGAATCCGGGCTGCGATGTATGGAGAGTCATTTATTTGCGGATTTTGACCTGTCGAGGTCAAACGGGGTCACATATCGAAAAGCGGTTTTTAAGGAAAGTTACTACGGCTTATGGGCTACCCGATGATGTGCTTTGATTTGGAATTCGGTCAATTCCTTTACTCGAAAACTGCTGTGCAAGTGTATTTTCGACATAACCCACAAATGACCTTAGGTCATCGCATGACCTTGAGAGGTCAAATGAGTGATGGGAAAGTAAGATTAGATGCTGGCTAGTCGATTGGTGCCATTTTTAGCGCTCTAGCTCTACTGGGTGGGCCACAATCTGCTGTGCAAATTTAGGCCATGTGACCTTTGC